TGTCGGTGCCGTTGGCCTTGGCGGGAAACCTCCTCCGCATGCGCAGTAAGACGGGCAGTAGAAACTCCAGAATCTTCCTCCAGCACAATTAACAGTCCCCTCCCAAATACCATGCCCTCCCTTCTCGTTTCAATGGCAGCCGAAGTAGCAGCAAAGCAGAGGCTGACATCAACAGAGTTTGAAGGGACCTTGGAGGTCTTCTAGTCCAACCCTCTGCTTAGACAGGAAACCCTACAACACTTCAGACAAATGGTTGTCTAATATCTTCTTTAAAACTTCCAGGATTGGAGCATTCATGACTTCTGGAGACAAGTTGTTCCACTGATTAATTGTTCTAACTGTCAGGAAAATTCTCCTCAGTTCTAAGTTGCTTCTCTCCGTGATTAATTTCCACCCATTGCTTCTTGTTCTACCCTCAGGTGCTTTGGAGAATAGCTTGACTCCCTCTTCTTTGTGGCAGCCCCTGAGATATTGTAACACTGCTATCATGTCTCCCCTGGTCCTTCTTTTCATTAAACCTGATATACCCTCTTCCTGCAACCCTTCCTCATATGTTTTAGTCTCCAGTCCTCTAATCATCTTTGTTGCTCTTCTCTGCACTCTTTCTAGAGTCTCCATATCTTTTTTATATCGTGGCGACCGAAACTGAATGCATGATAGAACAATTCTATGTTCTATCTCCCTTCTTCCTCTCCAACCTCTGCCTGCCATGGGGCACTCCCATATGCTGCTACTAAAAGGTTGCAGCAGGTGCACAGTGCGGTTGAAGAATGTTACTCTGTTTTCACAGCAGCATGCCGCCATGAATAAACTGTAAGTGTGACCAGGAAATGCCATCTGTCACCATTCTGTAGATGCGTTTGTATGATTCCCACACATTTTTCAGAGCTGACTAGAGTTCAAACAATTTATGCTAATTGGATATGAGTGGGTGGATGTGGAACTAAGCAAAAGTCTTGAGCAATTTGGCAATTTTGTTTCCACGTTGGCGAGCCAGTGGTGTTCATCTCAAGATGGTCATATTGACAAGGAACAGTCTAGAGATAAAACATCTCACTCAACTGCACAGCAGCTGAGATTTCTCTGTGGAACTTTAAATACTGTCCATTTATCAACTCTTTAATGCACTTCACATAGCTGCCACTCCAACAGGAACCAGTGTGGGATCATGATCCCATGTTGGCCTTTTGGTTATCATGGTAGCCATGAACCCCTGAGCTGCCTCAGACCTTGCTCTTAGAGAAAGCAGGTTGATGTCCACCAAAACCATAAGTCTGGAGAACTGCCAACCCAAAAATGCCAACCAAAAAATGGAGTCAAGAAGTTCAGATAAGGAAGTTGCTGTGCATCAGGATGGATGGTACCAGAGTAACTGACAGGTCTGCCAGGCTCAGCTGGGTGCCTCACAGGCATCCTGCCATCAAAGGCTAGAAAGAGACGGGCAGGATAGATGGGCAACAAAGCTGTGTGTGTACATGATGGGAAATAGGGAGGAGGGACTGACATGTGATGAAGACCAGAGAAGCTTGGCACCAGTTTGTACCAGCATCCAAGGCCAGGCACTCTGAGAAAGAATGTTGATTACCCCAAAATATCTCAGCATTCTCAAAACACTTCAGGTGAGTTCTTATTGGCTGAAGATGGATAGGTCATGGCGGGGGAGGGGGGCAAAGGCTGGGATGAGGAGACACTTTTCTGTATTTTTTGAGTGTGGGAAACCTAGAGCTAGCCTGATTTTACTGCAGCCAACATCTTTTTAGTAAGCGAACCTTTCATTTCAACCAAATGGAGTCGAGGGTCTTTCTTTCTTAAGGGATCAGATCAGAGCAGGCATGACAGCAACAATCCCCAAAACCTAGAGCTCAATTTAACGAACAGGGTATTATATCTGATAAGCTGTGGTTCAACACCCTTGAAAGACATGAAATTCTTGAATGATGATTGCCACACATTCACCCTTGCCCCAGTTGATGCCAAACCCAAACAGAGCTGGCAAACATCTCCAAAAGGGCACTCCTACTTCTTGATCCAGCCAGACCTCAATATATCGATCAGTTAAGTCCAGTGGTAAAATGCATTTTTTTTACTACTGGTTCTGTGGGCGTGACAGGGGAAGGATACTGCAAAATCTCCATTCTCTCCCCACTCCTGTGGGGAAGGGGGGAAGGATATTGCAAAATCTCCATTGCCACCCCACTCCTGGGGCCAGCCAGAGGTGGTATTTGCCGGTTCTCCAAACTACTCAAAATTTCCATGACTGGTTCTCTAGAACCTGTCAGAATCTGCTGAATTTCACCCCTGGGTCAGTCCTCTCATGAATTCTTAAATTACAAATGGGGAGGCCTAATGACAGACCTATCTGGCATTTAGAAGCAGCAATTGAAAACCAAGAGCTCTGAAGGTCTCTTAACTGGGTACAGGAACTGAGACCAAAGATCTGGAATGCAAAAGACATTGTACTTATGTTCCATGAAAACAGCCTGCTCCTTGTCTCCCACCCTTTCTCCCCATGCCTGTCATTATGATTAATGTTTTGTCCAATTTAGAGCACATTTGGCCATTTGAAGTTACAGTTTGGCAATGTCCAGAAGCAAATCTTCTGAAACATAAACTTTTGGGGGCATTCTAGATTTGGCATTTCAAAATGATCCAGAACACATCCTGCCGGTTAGCTCAGTCCCTCCTCCATAGAAGTTTTATTACTGCTTATGCCTATCGTAACAGCCATTTGGCAAATGTGCCTATCAGAAGCTTCTCAATATTTCAAATGTCCCTCCAAAAGAGATATTTGTAATAGATATTACAATATTATTGCTGTAGGAGATGGCCAGTCTGTTCTGACCTAGGCTTCCTGAGACAATACAAAGCACACGCTTAGTCCCCCAAAAAACCCTTTTTATTTCAACGGTTGTGAATTATGTTCATTCACAGCCCGTAATGAGTCCCAAATAGTTTGTAAAGAGTGTGACAGAAGTCCGCCACAGTACTTCAGGATAACGCTGATAAGCACCCACCTGTATCTCCCTTGAAACTCTTCCAAAGACCTAATTGGCAATTAGCTTTGCAAGGCCACACAGAGCACAGAGTCAAAATGGAGCTTTAGAATGTAAACTTACCAGAATGAACAAAGTTGCTTCCTGCAAAGGCTCACGTGCCTTTGCTCCTCCTTTATGTCTTATGGGAGGGGCCAATCATCTCCAAGCCTTACTCCCAAGTTGCCCCTTTTGTCTTAACTGTTCTTGCCTTCTGGTAGCTCTATGCATGTGTGCACTGGGAACAGGCTTGCCCTGTTCCTCTGCCTCGCTGATGTCTGACTCTGGAGGCTCCAGAGGCAGCACATAACTCCCA